TGTACCAGAGGACTCGATTCCACCTCCTGTTGTACAGCGGTAACTTGGCTGCGGACCTCGCGATGCGAGACTCAGTGGCACACGCAGGGTGAGTGGTTCAAGTATTAGCGGGCAGTGTCAACGCCAGCACAAAACGCATCTAAACTCTAATAACCCAAGACAAGAACACCTACCTAAGCACGATACAACACCAACACATCTGTCTTAGCATACTATAAGCACACGAGGAATACCAACAGCTAACCAACACATATAACGGCAAGGCTAACAGTCCCTATCTTTCAACTCCTAACACAATACAGTCTATCACGTCTCTATATGTCTTCAGCCTCACACGTCCATCTCCAACCGCTCTCCTTCCTCTCTGTTCAGCTTCGGGTAAAACATGTACATGGCACCAGTATTCAAGCCATCTCGGGTTTTCTCCATATCGTCAATTCAGCTGGCTAACCGCTCGTGCACCTTTTGGTCCGTCAAACACAAACATGAAGTTTCAAGTCGTATTGTCTATACTCTGTCCCACAGGGTTATGATAGATATAGACATTCATTTCTGGAAAAAAAGTGTGTTGAACATGTGCTACAAAACCAAGATGAGTACTGGCACCAAGATAGATTACAGTTTGTTCAGCCAGTAACAATTATCAACCTTTTTGGGATCGTCAGATTTGGAATGATTAAAACCTTTTTTTTTTAGTGAGTGGTTCAATATCATCAGCCCGTTAGGTACATCGACAATAGCAACAAATACATCTCCATATCCAAATGTAATATAATTTGCTGCGCAGTTAAGATACACCATGGGGTCAAATGGTGACTGAAGGGGAATACTAACTGTTGCATATTGGCAACATGTTTACAATTGAACAAGGCAGACAAATTGGCTGGATCTGCACCACTGGGTAGTAAGTTGATACATGACAAGCAGATGTGGTTAAGACTCTTTGGGAACAAGTATTGAAGTCGGAAAAGAAAATTGATTATTATAGCCTGGAGAGAATGATACACCTAGGTATGATCAGAGGGCCTGGCCGGCACACTACACTCAGAGGAATGATAAGATTGACATATAATCAGATTGTGACCGGTACTATCAGTATTAGAACTCTGTGCTGGCTGCTTAAGATGGGAACGGAGCGCATATGAGAATGCGCCAAGTGCATTGATGTCTTTCTTGACTCAGCTTAGCTCAACTCAGTTGAACATAAATGACAACAGAAAAATTTGCTTTACCTAACAATGTAATATGAAGACACGCCTCTGACAAAAAAATTGAATAGGAAATTCAGATTTTTAACTTTAATAGAACAAGTTAAATTATCCACTACTTTGTACGGAAGGAGTAAATGCTGTCTATATAGAACTATACTTAAACTTGAGATATAGCAAACTTGTTCTACTTTAGTTCACTGGTAATGTACAGAACTTGATATGTGGCCTTTTTATAATGTACTAGCTGTACCCGGCCACGCGTTGCTGTGGCATAGTTTGGCTAAATGGAAATGAAAGAAAATAGAAAACGCACGTGTCTAATACAATCATTGTCTGCTCAGATATAGAGATAGTCTTTGATCCCCGCCCACCACCACAACTAAATCCACCTACTACTATCTCCCTCATCAAAGGTTTTTGGAAAAGAAAGACAATGGAAATCGCACGTGTCTAATACAGTTAATGTCGCAATCATTCTCTGCACGGATATAGCGATAGTCTGGTTTTCCAACTTTAGAACACACACCTTATAATTGTGTCTTTATATTAGTGGTCATTTAAATGGTGTTATTAGCACAGTAACAAAAATGGTCATTTGGTTATCACATGCTAAAGCTGTTTGTATTTTTATAGGGGACGGAAGTAAAGCTACAACTGTACTTGTGAATAACAAAGTAAGTCGTAAAAAATAGAAAAGCGGAGGTAGCGTTAGTAAAACATAAACAAATTAGGTAATGAGAACTTGAAAATCAAGTGTAAAGCTCTTTAATTTCTCTTAAATTTAAGTCATTACCCCCTCCCCTCTTCCACCGACTACTGCTCTCTCCCTCTTCGAAGGATTTGAAAATCACTAACTGGCGATATTTTGTTGTTGCTGTAACTGACATTGACATCCCTGTCCATCTGGACTAAAATAGGGAGCAGGAATTGTAAAAGGTAGTGAATAGGGCTAGTGTAATATTTACCACATCATCCTTCAAGTACCAGTACAACTACTAAAATAATGTCACTGCTATCTGTGTTACCATCGGAGTAGACAGAGAGTCGTGAGCCAGAAGATTTGGTTCCGCATGGCTAGTGCTGTCGCCACAGACTGGTCAGGTTAGGATGTATAATTTCACTTGCCGACAGAAGAACGCCATAACCTTACCGGCGGTCTTCACATGAGAGCACTATGGTGTAACAGTCCTGGTGTAACAACAATTACTGCTGCTGTTACTTTAAGTGGGTAAAGCAGTTACTGTGACTTAAAGCTCTCTCAGTTAATAGTTTGCCCCCACCCCCTCCCCCTAAATTCACCGACAACTCTTTCCCTCATTGAAGTAGTTGGGAGAAAAAAAAAACACTTGAAAAGCAAACGAACACAGGAAAAAAACACCATAATTAGGAAATGAACGCCATTGTAAACGGCACAGCTTAAAATTCCAACACAGATGAAATAACTAAATATAAATAAAAATAAATGAAAATCTATAAAATTTCAGCGTAACCATGCAATCGGAAAGTTTAACAATGCAATCATAAGTATGCAAAATGGTCAAATTTAATTATCAAATGGTTTACCCATTTACTTGTTTTTTTTTTTTTTTTAATATTAAGGCAACATGGCTAGTGCTGTCACCACGACAGAGCAGATGAGGATATTATTTTAGTCCGGGGTAAAAAAAAAATTTAACGACTGCGGATTCGAACCCAGGTCTACCGCACATGAACCCAGTGTTCTAATCATTCGACCAAGCAGCCACTTAATCGGAACAACGAAAAGAGAACTCAACTATTAGACATGTGAGTGCCTTCTACTGTGTCGCGATTAAAACACAATTCAAAACCGCAGGCAATTGTTTTCTCGTAGACAGATACTCCAGATATATTAATGAAATAGAAATCGCACGTGTCTAACACGGTTAATGAAGTTAATGTCGCAGTCACTGTCTGCGCCAACGTCAAGATAGTCCTTGATTGCCCCCCCCCCCCCCATCGAAGGTTGTTTGAAAAAAAAAAAGAAAATAGAAATCGTTTTTAATATGGTTATTGTGGAAAATATAGAGATAGTCTTGTTTGCTGTACCACGACCTACTCTATGTATTAGTATTAGAGAAGGCGTTGGCTGCACGTAACTCGCCGGCGAATGGTAAATACGGCGCATGCGCAATTACTAACGTGGCTATAATTAGAAATCACTAAAGTTATAAATATTAGTTGCGTATATTATCGCATAAATTGTGGTCACCTATCTCTAACAGTGACAGGTTGAATTTCAAACCACGACAGTTCAAAATCCGGTATCACAACAAACATATCCTGAAAATTTCAGCTAAATCGGTTCAGTAGTTTCCGAGTCTATGGGGGTGAAACAAACACACAAACATTGATTTTTATATATATAGATATTGAAATATTTTTAAGTATAGTTATGTATTAGTATTAGAGAAGGCGTTGGCTGCACGTAACTCGCCGGCGAATGGTAAATACGGCGCATGCGCAATTACTAACGTGGCTATAATTAGAAATCACTAAAGTTATAAATATTAGTTGCGTATATTATCGCATAAATTGTGGTCACCTATCTCTAACAGTGACAGGTTGAATTTCAAACCACGACAGTTCAAAATCCGGTATCACAACAAACATATCCTGAAAATTTCAGCTAAATCGGTTCAGTAGTTTCCGAGTCTATGGGGGTGAAACAAACACACAAACATTGATTTTTATATATATAGATATTGAAATATTTTTAAGTATAGTTATGAGTATAGTTTTCTCTGTCTCACTCTCTCCCTCCTTCTCTTAGTTTATTATTTATATTTTTGTGTCTTTGTACTCTGTATGTCTGCCTCCATCTGGATGATGCTTTGTCCCAACTGTTGTTTCTGTCCATCTGTTTCAGTCTTTTTCCATGTTTGACTCTATTTTGGTTTCTTGTCTATCTCTAACCTTGTGTCTATTGGAGTTTCTCTGTATCTCTTTATTTGTCACAATATTTGTATCTGGATGTGTGTGTCTGTCTCTTTCCTTGTCTGTTTTTCTCAGATCTATGTGTCTGTGCCAATCAGCCAGCTTGTATTTATTTCCCTCCCTCCCTCTCTCTCTCTCTCTCTCTCTCTCTCTCTCTCTCTCTCTCTCTCTCTCTCTCTCTCTCTCTCTCTCTCTCTCTCTCTCTCTCTCTCTATATATATATATATATATATATATATATATATATATATATATATATATATATATATATATATATATATATATATGTATATATATGTATATTCTCTCTCTATGTATGTGCATCTGTCTACCTGACTGTCTTTTTTGTCTGTATCTTCTACCGTTTTCTTAAATATTGTCTGCTCTCTCTCTCTCTTTCTCACACACACTCACAAACACACACATCTAATGAATTTTCAGCATACACAAGTCCATATGCACAACAGTAAAGTACCATTTAATGTTGTACAAACATCCCTATAGATGTTTGAACAGGAGCAAAATAAAACTGGAACAGATAACATCACCTCACTGTCTGTGTACACATCACCACAGGTGGTTTAACTAACAGACTCAGAGTCTGATAAGAAGCAGCCATGCAGCTCACCACAGGTGGTTTAACTAACAGACTCAGAGTCTGATAAGAAGCAGCCATGCAGCTCATTGTGTTAAGAGCTGCTGCCTGCCCAGTTTAACTGACAAATTTTTAGGACATTTGCTTCTAGTGTTTTTCAGCGGCAGTGATTTTTAATCTTTTTTTGTGTTTTTGTTTTATTGTAGTAATAACATTCCTATGAGTCCTGTTGTACAGTCATGATGACTAGTGAATCGCTTGCTTCACAAGCCAGCAACATGAAATCAGATGCAAAGGTATTGTTTTCCTGTTAACCTGCTTAATATTTATGCAACAGAAATCCAGTGATGTGTTAGCCCATATTTACCTAATATTTATACAGTTAAATCTGTTCAGATTTTAACATCCAGTAACATAATAATATTTCTGCAGTATCACTGCATTGAGATATTACTATTTTCTTCTTCTTCACCAATACAATTTTGTTTCTTTCTCTGTCATATGTCATTCTCTCAGTACACTCATTGGAGTCTATTTGCCCTCTCACTGCCAGTATGGAGTAGTAACATATTACTATTGTGTAATATAATATTTATCCAACAGAATTCCTGTGATATGTTAATTTAGCATTTGGTAAAATAATATTTATGCAACATCATTCTAGTGAGATTTTAGCATTGAGAAGTGTAATATTTATAAATTCTTTTTCAGTTGTGTCAGTGAAATTTAGGAACGTAATTGTTTAGATATTTTAATTTATTAATGTAAATATGACTTAATGTAAAATTTAGAATTCTGCATTCTTCTTCTTCTTAATGCTAGCTGTAAATTCCGGCGGAAAGTTCTGGTTGTTCATCCACTTCTCAACTTTGGTCTAGATCTAGAACTTGAATTTTATATGCACATTCATTTTAAAGCTGTGGCTTATGCAGACTGCTGGTTCTTTGCCTCTCAGACATATGCATTCCGACTATGAAGCAAACACCTCCGATTAGTCACATCCTACGACAGGCTATAAACTTGGCATTCGTGCATCATCATCATCATCCTCATCATCATCATCATCATCATCATCATCATCAACCTAAACCTTTGCAAAATGGGGAGGAACAGTTTATTTTCTATTGCTCAATGAATGGCACTGATCAGTGTGGTTCAGTATGTTTTTAATGTCATAATGCATCTTCTACTTGGACATTTGTCTTGCTTTCACATCAGACTTGTAGAGCCTGTTTTGGTTTCTATAGAAATGACCAAACCACTTGATCTTCTGTTTCTCTTTGAATTTAGTGCACAGTGTTTCCCCTCTCAATCTGTCTGATGCTATCATTCTGCCAGTTTCATTCTGTCATGGATGATCAGGTTGGCAGCTTTTCTTAGGCATCTCAACCCACAGGAATTTTACTTGGATGAGGCAATAATTGATATACCATTCAAATGTACATCAACTTGTTAACTTTAACATGGATATACCATTCAAATGTACATCAACTTGTTAACTTTAACATTGATATACAATTCAAATGTATATCAACTTGTTAACTTTAACATGGATATACCATTCAAATGTACATCAACTTGTTAACTTTAACATTGATTTTCTCTCTTGTCATGGACACTATTCTAGGATCAGTATTTAATCTTGTAGGTACATTTCCACGAAGCAGAAGAACATTCTTCCAACTCACCGAGCCCAGCTGCTTCACCCAGCGGCTCTGATACTGAGTCCCCACCACGTCATAAAACACTAGCAAGCCTCCTTCGCCGGTCACACAGCCACAACGGCCACACCAGGCATGATATGAGCAATAATGCTGCAGACAAGAGGGTAAAATAAATGCTTTTTCTTCTTCTATATCTCCTCCTCCTACTCCCACTCCTCCTCCACCTTTTTCTCCTCCTCCTAGTCCACCTCCTCATTCTCCTTCAAGGAGTATGTAGACGACTAATTAGCCTAGTCATTTCATGGAATGTTCTTGCACAGTGTGGACATGGGATTTGACTAACAATACCCAGTAATACATCAGTGAGATACTATTTGATTGACATCTTCAATTGTTATCTTCAGGCAAGTCTGGAGCTTACTGAAAGATTATGCATGGTCAGTTCTTAAGTTAGCTAATTAGTTGAAAAGAAAATGTTAAACGACTCTGTTCCTTTCAAAAGAACTGTATGAGATCCATTTTCATCCAGATTTGTAATTAATGGTCAGTGATTAAAGTACCGAAACAGGAACGGAAATGAGAAACATGCATGGTGGAAATGAGGAATCCAAATATGAACATTGAGAAAAGAAGGTGTTGGGACATGATTTGATCCATGATATTGAGAAAAGAAGGTGTTGGGACACGATTTGATCCATGATATTGAGAAAAGAAGGTGTTGGGACATGATTCAATCCATGATATTGAGAAAAGGAGGTGTTGGGACATGATTTGATCCATGATATTGAGAAAAGAAGGTGTTGGGACATGATTTGATCCATGATATTGAGAAAAGAAGGTGTTGGGACATGATTTGATCCATGATATTGAGAAAAGAAGGTGTTGGGACATGATTCAATCCATGATATTGAGAAAAGGAGGTGTTGGGACATGATTTGATCCATGATATTGAGAAAAGAAGGTGTTGGGACATGATTTGATCCATGATATTGAGAAAAGAAGGTGTTGGGACATGATTGGATCCATGATATTGAGAAAAGAAGGTGTTGGGACATGATTTGATCCACGATATTGAGAAAAGAAGGTGTTGGGACATGATTCAATTCATGATATTGAGAAAAGAAGGTGTTGGGACATTATTTGATCCATGATATTGAGAAAAGAAGGTGTTGGGACATGATTGGATCCATGATATTGAAAAAAAAAAGTGTTGGGACATGATTTGATCCATGATATTGAGAAAAGAAGGTGTTGGGACATGATTTGATCCATGATATTGAGAAAAGAAGGTGTTGGGACATGATTTGATCCACGATATTGAGAAAAGAAGGTGTTGGGACATGATTCAATTCATGATATTGAGAAAAGAAGGTGTTGGGACATTATTTGATCCATGATATTGAGAAAAGAAGGTGTTGGGACATGATTTGATCCATGATATTGAGAAAAAAAGGTGTTGGGACATGATTTGATCCATGATATTGAGAAAAGAAGGTGTTGGGACATGATTTGATCCATGATATTGAGAAAAGAAGGTGTTGGGACATGATTTGATCCATGATATTGAGAAAAGAAGGTGTTGGGACATGATTGGATCCATGATATTGAGAAAAGAAGGTGTTGGGACATGTTTAGATACAGTCAGGAATGAGGTCATAAGAGAAATAGTCGACACAGAACCAGTTGTGAATTACATACAAAGACAGCAAGTCAAATTATTTGCCCACTTAGAAAGAATACCTGGTGATTCCATTCTATCATCATCATCAGGTGCCTTGACGACTCTTGTGGGCTATCATGCCTCTCCATAATCCACTATCTCCTGCAGCATGTATCAGTTCGTGTGTCGACACACCTCCATGCCATGCAACAAGACTCAAGAATCTTCTCTCGTTGTCTTCCTCTATCCCTCCTTCCACAGATCTTTCCAGTGGTCACGTTCTATTTTCCCTCTTCTCATAACATGGCCGAAAAATGATGACTGTCTTTTTCTGATGTCTGTGATTAAGTTGTCTTCGGGCTCCCGCCTTTTTCAAAACCTCTTGATTGCTCTTTTTGGCAGTCCAAGGTATTCTAAGCATTCTTCTGTAAAACCACATCTCTGAGGCCTCAAGAAATTGTTTGGCCTGCCTACGGATTGTTCCATATCCCTAGTCAATCATGCCTCCATACTATACAAGGCACATTAAAAGGGCAGAAGGATATAGAGCACAAGGGAGACCAAGAACTTGGTGGAAAGATAATGTCAGAGAAACTCTACAACAGCACGATATGTCTGTGGTTAAGGTGATCAGAAGAGCAAGAAGTAGAACCTTATATCTCCTTGGTCACCTGCAGTGGAAAAAGAGGAAGTGAAGAAGAAGAAGATTATAGAGCAGCCTGATAATGTTTTCTTTCCCAGTTAACAGTTACTGATCAGTAGTTAAGGCAATACCCACAGACAAACCACATAGAAGAATTCCAAGGACCAGATGCATTCTTTATAAGGTTGAAACTCTGTTGCCGTTATTGAGTTTTCAATTTCATTCACTCTGGCATTTCATTTCTGTTTTCCTAAGTTTTTCAAAAATTATTGGAAGGTAGTCAGTTGACTGGCGGCATCCGTGGCTAAGGCTTTGCGAGTCCGACTCGTAAGCCAGCATACCGCGATCGAAACCCACTGCAGGCTGTGCGGATTTTTATTGTGGTATGGGACGTCGCTGGTCGAAAAAAAAAAATGGGTACCAGGATGGGCTGTCCTGGGAAAGTAAAGACAGCCGGCATAATGCTGACCACATTACCCACAGAGTGCTGATGGTCTGTAAAAATATGGGACGCTCTGCCCATATGCCCGATGCGCCGAAAGGCGTGAAAAGGGATCTTTACTTTACTTTACTTAGTCAGTTGACTGAATTTAATTTTTTTGTTATTTAATTCTTAGCGTACCAAAAAGAAAAATTGATGGAAAGAGAGACAGGGTGAGACAATAAGAAGATGTTGGACAGTTTGACATCATGGCCTGTAGAAACATGTAGGGATGATTGCGTGTGCTTTATAGATCCTTCTTTTTCTTCTTCTTCTCATCATTCTCTTCTACTTCCTCCTCCTTTTCCTCTTTTTCTTCTCCCTCTTCTTTTTCCTATTCTTCATGTATTTCTTCTTCCTTTTCTTCTCCTCCTCCTCCTCCTGCATTTGTCTGATGTTATTGTCATGTACTTGTTTGCTGCATGGGTGTGATATATGTGCCTTTAGGCCAACACGTCGAACTTCTTCAGGTATTTGTTGCCTGGCTAGTCTTCCTGGTCAGTTCTATGGGACATTGTACAGCCTCTGTGTTGTGTCATCATCTTTGGTTCCTAGGCCACAGGTGGCGCCCCCATCAAATCGGTCCAGATCAGCCATGTAGTGCTGGTCAGCCCTCAGGAGAAGGCAGGAACAGAACCCCAGCATTTCCTTCCATTAAAGGGGTTTCCATAAATGAGAGCAGATGCCTGGTGCTCTAGTACTGGGCTCACCCAAGGAATTGTCATGTCCTGCTCATGACTTCTTAACCTCACTTCTGTATACTATGCCTCTCACTCATCACAGGCAATGCCTTTAGAAGCCAGCCTGATGCAGCCTGCAGATGTGGGATTTTTGTTTACCTTCACAATGATTTGAGTGATTTACTTCTTTAGCATATTAGACTTCTGTTGTAGTGATTTTTGGGTTCACTATAAGTTCATACTGTGCCCACATTTTCCACATTTTTGAGGCATTCAGTGTAACGGTGTATGAGCAGACGGAAAGAAAGAAGGAAACAGGTAATCATCTGGTTTTTTTTTTAAGGTGACATTATGAGAAAAAAAACACAGTGGAACAGTTTGCGAAAATCAAAAAGATTTATAAGAAAGAGAGATAAGACGAGAGAAGAAAACAAGGAGAGAAGAATCTTGACAGCTTTTCATCATGGAATAAAAGAGTGTTAGCACTTAAACTGATACATGCTGTTGGAGATTGCATAAAGACTGTATGATAGCCTGACACTTGATGATATTGATGATATTGATGACGAACATTTGTGTAAAACAGAAATTGACAGTACATGTGACCGACGGCTGTGGGCAAACATGGAGATCAATACCACACATTATTAACTTTACAGGACAACAAAGAAAATACTTGCTGTCTGAAGTGGTATAATGTCGTCATCATCATCATCATTGTCCTGTTGTGCCATTATATGTCACATAGGGCTCTTAGTCTGTTTATCCATTCACCTCTATCCTGTGTAGTCACTTCAGTATCATGAATGGAGTCCAGTGCCCCTTTTTAACCCTTTTCACTGAATGTTTGGTGATTCTCTGTTTGTCTGTTCTCAAAATGTGTCCAGTATAATAGCTGTATATTTTCAAGTTAACTATGTTACTGTTTTACCAGCTGCTATCATCTTTCTCTATTGCTGTTATTGAAAGCTGGATGGTAGTTTAGTGTTTTGTTTATTTGTTTGTTGCTTTAATTTCATGTTTTCAGTGTGTTTTTAATGCAGGTTAGATCTGATTCCAGTGGCAGCTCTAGCACATTTGTTGGTCCTTTGTTGACAGTCAGGTTTGTGTGATGTTTTCTTTCCTTTTCTTAAGAAAAAAAATTAAAATGTTTATAAAACTGATACACATATCTTTTAATGGTGAGAATGTAGTATGCTGACATATTCTGTGTAACAAATTAAAAATAAAAAAAAAAAAAAAATTTGAAATTTAATTAATGCACATGAGATTGTTTCAAAATATAAACATGGAGACCAAAGCATTGATCAGAGAATGCTAACAAAGTCTGCCATTCCCAGTGTCTTTTTTTACTTCTGCTTTTATGTTTGCTCATAAAAGTGCAGTTGATATGTTGTGTTATGGTTTACAGCCAGTCTGTGAGATCTGCATATTTTGGTAAAACACAACTGATTTAAGGTGCGTCTCCGTGGCTTAGATGTCGGGGAATGCAGTTAACAGTTTTGTGATCCTTAAGTACTGAGATTCATTCCCCGCTGTGGGCGGTTATTTAAAAAAGTCATTCTTGAGGTTTTCAGACAATTGTACAAGAGTCACACTGTGGAAATGATTGGCACTCACCACGTAATATTCCTAAGTACAACAGTGTTACATTGTAGCCAACCTTTTTTGTGGAGACGGCACATAAATTGTATTAGATTTAGGCAAATCCTTAATTAGTTGTCATTTTTTACATGCTTGAAAAGGAGTAGTGTGTTATATTCTCTTCTTTCTTAAAAAATTGTGTTCTAGAACTGACATGAGGAGTTACTTCTACTGTATATTCTTAGCTTCTCTAAAATAAAGGCACTTAGAATTGTTTGTACTGTAGCTTTTTTCCTGTGAACATCTACTGTTCAGCTGTCTGGAACAAGTTAATTGATTTTACCACCAGTTACAAATCTCCTGGGAAATAATGGTTGTTGACTTCATTTTGAGCACATCACCCCCAGTGTGCCAATTGGTCAGTAAAAAAAAATATGAGAATGCTCAAAATTCCTTGGGCAGCTAAACTAAGCAATGTATGTATTGTTAACAGTCAAAGACAACTTATCACAAACATTTAAAAAAAAAGAAGCAGTTATCATTTTTTGGCAACATTATAAGAAGAAAAAAAACAAGAAAAAAAAAACAAGAACATGTTGTGACAACTGAAGAACATGTTGTGACAACTGGGAAAGAAGAATAGAAACAGAGTAAGAGGAAGACATATAAAACAATTTTTTTGCTGATGTTTTGCCATGGCATAGAAGGGTGTGAGTACGTAATCACACACTTTAGATCATCTGGGATAAGCATCTACTTAGCATAAATTATGCATAAGAAGTGGGGTTTAGAAATGGCACAGACCAGAAAAGGCAATCATGAAGTTAGCATGATAGTGGTGAAGCATGAGAGTAAGTGAGCGATTCTAAGGTAATGCGTGTGAATTTTAGTAGAATATTAGAAGTGTGAAGGAACCAAAAATCATTCTGTATTTAGCCCTGGGACAAGTCGAGTGGACAAATTAATGTGAGGGTACTAGCTGAATCAAGCTAAACAGCCTACAGCGGCTATGAATAACTAGCCATATCGTTATTGTCAAGATGGATGCAAGACTGATGATTGGTAACCATATCTGCTGAATGTTTCAGTGGGAACCTGAACTAGCCAGCAGTTGTGTTCGTGAATGCAGGATATTCTGTAGTGTTAGTAATTACTTATGCTGTCTGATAGTTGAGCTTAGCTCTCTCTGCATTGTTACCAAGAATGGGAAGAAAAGGGCCATCCAGTCTATCAGAAGTGAACAGTCGGGCCAGAGTTGACTACCACTTACTTGACTGGCATGGGCAGGTCATTATGCTACGCCTCAGGACAGGACAAAACAAGCCTAACAAGCATGTGCACTGGCTTTGTCTAAGTAGTTCACCATTGTGCCTTTGTGGGCTGTGTGCAGACTACAGAACGTGTCATGCAAGAATTTCCTTGTACAGCCCATTAAGAAGGGAATACTGGCCGAGTGGGTCAACATTGCACCTAGAGTTGTATAGAACTAAAAGGGAACTACCAAAAAAAAACTGTCAAGTTTATCACAGGAACTTGTCTCTCGGTGTAAATCAGAAAGCCAACACAAGAAGAAGAAGTTACCAAGACAGTGAATAGTGACATTGGACAGATGACACAGCCTGGAACAGCCATCAAACGTCTTGTATGTTTAGCTTTGTGTTGCAGCCCATTTACTGTTAATGCAATGTTACTTGGCCATACGTAAGAAGTACATGACACAGCACATGAATCGATGCATGCCAGGGATGGCAAGATGTGGAAAAGCGTGATCCACAGTGTTAGTGGGAAAACTACTTGATGATGATGCTTAAATTGTATATGTACACAGTGCACTTTATCCCCTCTAAGAATGCAGACCACAGGATTAATATCTCATGGATACATATACATATAAATTCTAGTAAGCCCCATTCAATTACAAGATTATATTAGGGCCCCTGACTGTTACTGCGTAACCTGAAGTCCAGGGGTGTATTTATGAATGAATTTATATGATGTCTGCAGACAAAAACATGATTGCTCTAACTGGCTTCTTGTTTTGTCCCTGTCAGCCCAGCAGATGAGTTAGTATTTGAGTCTGGAGATTCTGCAGATCCCTTTGATATTATAACTTTGACAAACACCATGCCTTACCCAGTAGCTTTTAAAGTAAGTGACTGAATTTATTTCTGTATGTTTTGTTGTTATGTTTGATTTTGCTATTTATATAATTTAGCAACTGGGATTTCCTATCTTTCCTGCTTGTGCCAGAAGTTGTCACTTACAATGAACCAGAAAAGAAAATTAGTAACGTTGTCTGAGATAGGCTGCAGGTGTAACCAGAAGAGGTAAAATCAGGAACGAGGTCATTAGAGAAAATGTTGGCACAGAATACATTCTAAATTACATAAATAGACAGCAAATCAAATGGTTTGCCCACTTAGAGAGAAAGCTTTGTGATGTCATACCATACAAGGCGTGCACCAAAAGAGAAGAAGGTCATAGATCACGAGGTAGACCAATAACAAGCTTGAAAGATAACATCAGATAGACTCTACAACAACACATCTACAACAACACGATGTGTCAGTGTTGAGGCGGCCAGAAGAGCAAAAGGCAGAAGATTATATCACGCCCCCCCCCTTCCTTTTTGCAACCCGTGGTAAAAGAGGAAGTTAAGAAGAGGAAGAAAGTTACAGTTTTTATTTAATCAGGACCTCATATGGCACATATATAAAACAGCCTGTTAATATTATAACTTACAATATGGCTGCACTAGAATCCACTCGGTCAGAGAAGTTGAGGAAGTAAAAATGGAGAAGAAATTTCACATATGTTGAATGTTGAGCTAGGAACTGACAGCACTACACTCAGGGCATTCCCATATGTGCTCCATCCTCATCTTCAGCAGCCAACAAAGAATTTCAATTCTGATTATGCCAGTAGCAGTTTAATTATAATATGTCCATCTCGTCTCTCCTCTGAGTAGAGTGTCGGCCAGATCTCTGGTCACTTCTAGCTATACAGTTGTCTCCAGACCTTATGATCTGTTAGGGCCTCCATATTGTTCACTTGCTTCCAAAAGGTTTTGACCAAATATATGGCATGTTATGTATGAATTCATTATCCATTGGTGCAGGACCAGCCAGTCTGTTTGTCTGTTCATTTCCTAACTCTTCTGCATGACAGGGAGAAAATATCCAAAGAATGCTAACCACACGGAACTTCTGTAGGGATGCTTGCCACTTTGCGTAAGCACGCCTGTTTCCACCTTTCTTAACATGCTTTGTGAGTCGGTTACAATCCTGCCATGTGTGAGAAGTTGGTTCTTAAGCTAGCGGAATGCTGCTGTGACTGCCTCCACTTTCACTCTCAGAGTAGATATTGCAGTGTCTTATGTAGGACTTTGTTGCACTTTGTTTCTTCTAGAGGTGAATAAGATACTAAGGACATGGATTGAGCTGAATGAGATGGCAAAGAATAAGAAGACTTGGCACAGACTGGTTGAGGGCCTTTGCTATGTAACGATGAGCACAACTTTTTCTTGAACTCATGGAAAATCCCAAAAAATTAATTTAAAAAATAAAAATAAAGGTCTTTTGTTACAAAAAAATTTGTCTACATTTGTTTCTCCTTGAAATATGTAAAGACATATGAAGGGAGTAATCAGTTAAACATTAAGAGAGTGAAGCATTAAATGAAATGCATTCACCAGAGGCTTCATGCATCAAGTATATATATATATCAGGTTGCTGATGCTGTGACCCCATGACCTCTCATTGAGGCTCACAGGAAAACCTGACATTAGCTTGGCTATAAAAAAGTATTTGTCCACACGAAAATAACTGCAAATGCTATTTTTAGTAACTATATTCATATCCCGACCTCTTAAATGTTTGCGCAGGCATAACCTCAACAGTTAGCATTACCTATGCATGTTGTGAACATAATCACAAGAATAAGGGATCAGCAAGTGGACGATTAACCAGGACCTTCCGCCGGAATTCACAGCCGGTGAATGAAGAAGAAGAAGAAGAAGAAGAAGTTATCTAAAAGAGTTATTACATTTCTCTTTTCCTTCTCTCTTATGATGTTTCTCTTATTCAGTTATTGCAACAAATGTTTATCTGTTATTATTTGTAATGTAGGTAAAAACAACAGCCCCAGAGAAGTTCCGAGTTCGACCAAGCTCAGGTCTAATCAAGCCTCAGAAAACAGAAGAGGTCCACGTTTACCTTATTTCAGGTGTGCTGGCATGAAGTTTGAGAACAGTGGTGATAATAATGATGAAGATTATCATTTTACACATGATAAATTTGTTGCTTTTATTGATTGTGTGTACTTTCTTGCATGAAGCAGCTGAAATAAATGGGAATGTTATCAACAAAGATAAGACAGAATATACGTTAATAACAAGACAGGGAAAGGATACAAAGTCCAGCCAAATACAGATGGATAATACAAACAATTTTTTTAAATTGGAAAAGTACGAGTACTTGGGTACAAGCTTCAACTGCTCCAACATACTAAACCAAAAAAAAATACAATCTAGAATATAATCTGGAAATTTTGCCTTACTACATCTGCTAAATTGTAAATGCTTTATCTCCTAACACCAAGATCTCAATATATAAAACACATATTAGACCAGCTGTCTTTGAGGCCCTGAAACCTGAAATATAACTATTGTTTATTCAACGGATCAACATTATGGCACAGGGGTGTAACCCATAAGTGCTCCTTTCTTCTTCTAACTCAAGCCTGAGTCTGAAGAATCTCAGTGCAGTGCATGAACTGTGTATACAATTTTTTTTTTTACGGTGAATGGAAGTATACCACGAGGCAGACCAAGAAGACATTGGAGAAATACATGCAGACCTAAAAACTCTTGGAGTCGCCAACTGGAAAAAGAAGGCCACTCACAGAGATAAATGGAGAAGGGTAGCATCTGCAGAAATGAATCTCAAGGGCTCAGAATGTTAAAGAAGAAGAGAAGAAGAATTATTCTAAAAAAGATGTGGATTACAATATAAGGAAGTATTTTCTGGAGCAAATGCAATATGTGATATATGTCCTTTTGTGAGTTAAGAAAGATTAAGATAACAAAAGTTGGCACCTTTTCATCCTTTCAGATGAAAGTGTTATATTGTGCTGTAGAGAGGCGTGGGAGGCACAGCCCATGGTGATGGTGAGTGTGACTAGCAAGACCAGGTCTTGTTGAGAAAAGTCTTCCATGATTAGAGCAAGAGATTCCTGGACCATTAAATAATAATAAGTGATTCATTTCCTTGGACAAATTAAGAAAGGTTTAGATAACAATATACGAGAAATATTTCCTTTGACAGAGCTACTAATGATTCAGATAACAATATGTGAGATCTGTTGTCTTGAAAAAAGTTATTGGCAGTAGAGAAAACAATATAAGTGATCTGTTGACTTGGATGTTAATATAAGAGATGTATTAACTTGGACTAATCATTAAGATGATAATATGTTTTTTTTTTTTTTACATAGTTATCGAACATTCAGATTTCAGAATAAGAGATGTATTGACCTGACACAGTTATTGAACATTCAGATATCAGAATAAGACATGTATTAACTTGGACTAATTATCAAACATTCAGATAATAATATGAGAGATGCTTTTTTCTTTCACATATTCAGACCATTCTTTTGTATTTCTTCTCTGCTCTCCAGAACCAACAGAGAATATCAACAAGGAGAAGTTCCTCATCATGGCTGTAAATACAAAAGGTGATTGTGTAGATACCAACCAGCTGTTCAGGGATTCTCCCAAGGAGTTGATCATGCAACACAAGTAGGTCACCCGGTGAAGTTGGCCATGTCACATGCTGCCTGCTGTGTTATGTGAGGAGTCAGAAGAGTGCAGTGGCAAACTAATGAGAGTGTCTCTTTTCTAATGTAAAAAAAAAAAAAACTACCTATAACATTGAAGTTGTAGACAACAGTGAAACCAAATAAGGGGATTATTATGGCCTGGAGAGAATGAGGCATCTGGGTGTAACCAGAGGGTCTCGCAGGCTCACTACACTCAGAGGAAAGACAAGACGGACATGTAACCAGATTGTGACCGGTACCATCAGTATTGGAACTTTGCGCTGGCTGCTGAAGATAAGGAGGGAGCATGCATGGGAAATGCCCTGAGTGCTGTGATGTCAATTCTTGACTCAACTCAACTTTAGAAAAGGGGATTGGAAACCTAGGCTTTTGGATGAAGACAGAAAAAGAAAACAACAGTACTTTGTATGTGTATAAAGAGAGGTTAGTGGATGCGATTAACAATGTTTTGGATCCTCTAGTACTAGGGTTTGATTTCTATAGACAGTTTCTTTAAAATAACCATTCTCATGATTTTCAGACAGCAGCATGAGAATCACACCGTGGATGGGATTGGGGCCTCACAGCATATTATTTCCACAAATGGCAGTGGGGACACTTTAGCCAACCTTCATTGTGGGGATGGCATATAATTTTAATTGCATTAAGAAGAAGAAGCATTAATTCAAAATTCATTTAGAAATGTTTTATGTTTGTGGTTTTGTGAGTCAGTGAAGTTGAATCCCAGTAGGACCACACAATGAGTGATTAACACCCGGTGGCACAAAGTGCCACTATTCAGATGAGAGTGCTCCCAGGTACCAGTCCTAGATACACTGTTCAAATGTAAGGTTATATTAGACTCCACCCCCTCCCTCCCCCCAATGTCCAGCCGGGGGTGAGGCTGTAATATTTAAAAAAAAAATGTTATCTCATGCCATTGCGGGATTATTGTGCGACATTATGCAAGAGCATTTGTCTTTTTGTGTCCACAGGCTGAGATGCTCTTGTGCTGCACAGATTCATTCGCTTGAAAAGAACATAAATTCTTCCACTGATGTTGCAGCAGTGCAGCAGCAGAGACTGGTAAGAATTTGGTTAACAGTTTTTGATAAAGAATAATCTCCTGGTGTCCTCAGGTCCTGAGCTGAAGACTGAAGGAAGAGATATTAAACCAAATAAAAAGTACAACCAGTCAGCTTCACATTAACACAAACACAAACGACAAGTGAATGTTGTGAAGGCTAGAAAGCCTTCATCAGCACAATACATGAATATACAAACCTAACAAATAAGAACACAATTACACAAAATGTTTACAGATTATTTCAGACAGAATCTTTTGTTAATAGGGGCATAAATAACATTGCGGCTGGTGCAGTAGAATGCTTCACATATGTGGAGCTAATTTCTTTTAAGACATGTTTTCAAGTGTTTTCAACAATTGATTCACGATAATTCCTGCCCAAGTTATGTGATTATCCATACAAAGTTAAAGTCGAGAGGATTGACTTCATTGCTTTGGGTTTATCCCATATGGCTAGGTCTCTCTCCGCAGAATGGCTAGCCCCCTGACGAGAGTGCTGCACAGAACATGAACTCCGTAGCTCCAGCGACGATCTCCAGGGATCTCCATAAAAATTGCACTATTGAACTGAACCGCATAGCCGAGAAATGAACACACGACCTTCAGAGGCAAATGGCTTGACCACTTCCCCATGGAGACCCCCCCCCCCCCCAATTACCCATACTGATGGCTGTGTGTTTAGAGACAGAAGAAATGCATAGAGGCTTGTTGTCAAAGTGAATGAACGGCACTTAGTGCAACAAAGTCTAGCGTATAATACTACAACATCTGGTTTGAGAATAGGGGTGGAGGTGGTCACAGCAGTTTTCTGGTGGCTTGAAAACCAAATGCACACACATGTCATGATTGTAACGACTCACAAAGCATCTTAAGAAAAACGAAAACATTCATGTTCAATTTCACAGTGGCAAGCATCCTTTCAGAAGTCCCATGTAGTTAGCATTCTTTGGACATTTTTCTGAGGCATGCAGGAATGGTAGGAAATGAACAGGCAGACAGATTGGCTGGTTCCGCACCAACGGGTGGTAAATTTATGCATACAAGCTAGATGGGGTTAAGGACCTTTTGGAGCAAGGGAACAATGTGGAGGCACGAATAGATCATTACGGTCCGGAGAGAATGGTACAGCTAGGAGTGATCAGGGAATCTGGTTGACACTCTACACTCTAAGGAAAGCTAAGACAGACACGTAATCAGACTGCTACTGGCACCATTGTAATCGGAACTCTTTGCTGGCTGCTGAAGAGAAGACAGAGTGCTTATGGTAATGTGTCGAGTGGGGTGTTGTCAGTTTTTAGCTCACAACTCAACAACAGTGTCAGTGTTTGTCATATGCAATAACAGCATCTTATTTTCACCTCTAGTCCCCTTTAGTCTTGGTCAGATATGACTGAGCTACTGTATAACAGTAGTTGGTACCACCTGATCTCTATTAACTTGGTCAGATATGCCTGAGCTGCCGTATAACAGTAGTTGGTACCACCTGATCTCTGTTACTCTTGGTCAGATATGATTGAGCTACCATATAACAGTAGTTGGTTCTCTGTTAACTTGGTCAGATATAACTGAACCTGGCATCCCACATTGTGCCAACGACTTTTGGCAGAGGAGCTCATTGGGGAGGATACTAACCTTATCCTAGGAAGGAGAAATGCAATCTGAAAACATCATGTTGGCAGGACAGTTGATCTAGGAGGGAAGCTCCGACAGGTGGTCAGTTAGAGCACTGCTGTCCTGATCCGGCAGATTCTGCAGTGTGCCTTGTTCCAAATGTACTTGTAGTACCTTTCTTTTAGAGTAAAAAAGACAGGTCAGAAAACCAACGAACAAAAAAACTTTATTTTCAAAGGGTCACAAATTGGGCACGCAGGCCAGTCTTACATTCGGCCCTTCCAAATACCCGTCTTTTACACTGCAGCTGTATTTTATCAATAAGCATGTTATATTCATATGATAATATGCATATTATGAATATGAAGGGATAAAAAAGAAAAAAAAAGCATGGATGGTAAAATGCATGCACACACTAGCGCATGCACACACATACACACATTCACACACACGCACACCCACTCACTTAAACACGCATATATATACACACACGCACATACTTTCACACACACATAAACACGCCCTCATTCACCCATATACATACCTACCTACCCACACAAACACGCACATTCCACACACATACATACATACATATACACACACAAACATACCCACAGAAACAAATGCAGACACACACAGACATATACGCACAGACCCAAACACACACACAGATACCCATACACAGACACACACATGTGACACACACACACATACATGCGCACAAATACACACATGTGACACACACACACACATGTGACACACACACACATACATGTGCACAAACACCCACATACACACACACAAACACACACACAGACACACTCGCAGACACACACACAGACACTCGTAGACACAAAACCACAGACACACACGCAGATGCATACACAGACATACATACACACTTGTAGACACACCCACAGATAATACACACAAAGACACACAGACATATGCACACAGTGGTGTATATAAACACAGGCATTCACGCAGACACACATACACACACAGGCACATACAAACACACATACACAAATACAACAACAACACAGACAAACACACACGCAGGCAGACACACACACACACAGCCACATACACGTAGAACACACAGACATGCAAACACTCACAGACACATGCAGACATACACACATATACACATACAGACACATACACAGTCATACACGCAGACACACATGCACAAACACCACATTCACACAAGCAAACACACACACACGCATACATAGATACACACCCACAGACACACAATACGAACACACAGACACAAAAATACACCCAAACACACACACACAGACACATACACAGAGACGCACAGGCAGACATGCACAAGTAGACACACATGCATACCTACATACAGACAGACACACACAGACATATATGCACAGACACACACATAGACATATACACCACAGACTCACAGACACACGCCCACCCACTCACTTAAACATGCATATATACACACCCACAATAAGAGAGATCATGATGCACGGGCAACACATGGTCTCTACAGTACTGCAAAGGCTTTGTGCTTGGAGAGCTGGTTATACACACTTGCCCTCAACATGAGCTATGAATCCCATGCCTCCCCCATATCACCAGTAAAAGTTCTCACCTCTTGATTCTGTGCTTTTCTACATTGAAACACTGAAGACCGATCAACCATTCAACCCAGTTTCTCCAAGTGTAAATAACGGATCACCAACAACAAATGATTTGAAGTCTGTCATCTCCCCTGTGTTGTCATCAAAAGATAAACATGAGGTCAGGTACCCAGGTAGTACCCCCCGCCCCTCCCCCAAATACTGTTTACAGTTTTTAGTTCTCAGTTCAACTGTTATCTTTCGACACCATTTTTGGCATTACAGAGTTTGAACTTTAACTTCTTTTTAGTACCGTGCGACTGATCATGCGTTAATATGGTAGTCCAAACACAGCAGACATTTCAGATTTCTTCTGTGGCAGACAGTTGTTACCTTAACTCATTATTTCCATATTGTCAGTTGTCGATGTTAATTTCTAAAACTGTTATATTTGATTCATTTTGAAATCCCTGCCTGGTCCAGAACCCAGGTTGCTTCCTAGTCATCGGGGACCCCAGTATGTCCTTACGGTTGAACGAGGCAGGATTTGTACATGTAGCATTCTCATCCTTGAAGTGTTAATCCTGAGGAGTTTTCATCCTGTAGGTGACAAACTGCAGTGCAGTTTTGAAACTTTCAGCATTAATATCATTAATGTTTTGAAACCATAATCATTGGTGTCATGAAGTTTTAGAATTTTAATAAATTATGTAAATTTTGAGAATTTTAATCTTTAGTGCATTTTTTAATTTTAAAAATGTAGTGCCATTGATTTTTATAATTTTAAGCATTACTTAAACTTTAATCGTTTATGCTATTAATTGTTGGGACTTTAATTTTTACTTCAATTTAAATTAATTTTGTTTAAAAATTAATTTAATATTTTACTTCATTTGGTAAATGTTGAGAACTGAAATTGTTGGTGCTGTTAAGGTCAAGAATATTCTTCTTTGGTGCATTTTGAAAATTTAAGCATTGATTTAATTCATTATTAGAATTTTGCGCACTAATGTCTTGAAGTTTGAAATTTTAAACATTCTTCTTCCTGTTCACCACTTGTAAACTCTGGTGAAACGTTCTTGTTGCTCCACCATCTCTGGACTTAGGTCTTGTTGCAGAACCTGAGTGTTTACCTGCACATCTGTTTTACAGATCTGATTTATCTGTATGCCGACTGTTGGTTCCTTGCCTATCAGGTAGATGCACTTCTGACTGAGAAGAAAGCCCCTAATAAGTCAGTCAACTCTTACTGCATGCTTGTAGGGGAGGAAGTGTCTCTATCCTTGTTTTCCCCATGATGGGGCCCAGGAACCCACATAGAGATTTTAATAACTGATACCATTCATTGTTAGAACGTGGAAAAAAGGGGGAGGGGGTGTCAAGCTGGTTAGGTCACCAGGTTCTGGCACCCTTAGAAAGCAATGAAGTATAACTCTATTGCATGGTGAAAAAACACACAAAAAGCTCAATTTAAAGAAAACAAACACAATTTGTTGTTATCAGGTGGAACAGATTGAAGCACAGACTCGGCACATCCATCGACAGCTGAAGCTGCTGCTGCTGATCCAGTTCTTGACAGCCTTCTTCCTGCTGCTGTTCGTGCTGTCCTATTCCTGCTTTGGCGAGGATGTGTTTACCCGTTTCCTGGCCCTGCCATTTGACTTTTGTCATACTTCACATGGACGCAGATGCACATAACAGATGAGTGAGGATGTGTTTACCCGTTTCCGGGCACTGCCATTTGATTTTTGTCACGCTGCACAGGGATGCAGATGCACATAACGGATGAGTGCGGATGTGTTTACCCATTTCCTGGCCCTGCCATTTGATTTTTGTCATGCTGCACATGGAGGCAGTTGCACATAACGGATGAGTGAGGATGTGTTTACCCCTTTCCTGGCCCTACCATTTGATTTTTGTCACACTGCACATGAACCTAGATGCATATAACAGATGAGTGAATTTCAGGGTTATGTAACAGTTTTATGTTTATCAGCAAAATCCAGGTCTTTCTTCTTCTTCTTCTTCTTCTTCTTCTTCTTCTTCTTCTTCCTCCTTTGCTTACTTTCAAAAGGGCGGTTGGCACATTATGTTGCAGTTTACTGCTAAGCCGCAATATCTGAGCTGCTATATCTGAGCCAATGAGCTCAACACAGGTTCCTGTTATATTGTTCTTAGGTTTTCTCATCATGTGTTGTCCTATGCAATGCTAGCATATTTTCTTCACCTCTTGCTTGCTTTACTCAAATCGACAGACTCTGTCATTTATTGTGATGATTCCAGATGTTTTTTTAGTTGATAAAGATTTGGGTGGAAAGATTCAGTTGCATTTTCATATGACTTTTACTTTCTCTCCATTCTGTTTCTTAGTCAAAGTTTATGTAGTGTTAAGCTCAGTGTCCCCCTTCCCGCCACTTTGGGGAGGGGATCAGGGTTGCTCAATGCACCCCTTCCAATAGTTATGTATGGAAGCTCAGCAATATTATTTAACCATGTATATAAATTCTCTTTAAAAGCATTCATTTATATATTTAATATTATTTCATATATGTTATTTATATATATATATTCATATATATTTACCATACAATACATAATCATTATGCTCTAAGACTAGGATGTAGGAACACATTTAATTGTAATGAGGAGGAAATGGGGTAGAGAATGACTGGATAGTAACGAGGAAATATACATAATTAATGTGGACAAAATGTGAATTAGAAATAATACTCTTTGTTCAGAGTAAGAAAGTTGCTTATCACTGGAGAGATGAACTCTGGGAGTTTAGTGGAGAGAAAGACTGGTTGTTGGATCATTTGTGGTACCGGGCTCCGACTGTAAGGACAGAAGGCAAAGAAGATTAATTGAGTATTATCTCAAGGAAGTGAACAACTGTTTAAATGTGCCAGTATGTGTCATGTTGAAGACATACAGCGGACACTTCTGTAATCACTTTGTGAAAATTATGCTGTGAATAATTTAGGAGTAGTCACTGTAAGTAGAACTTTATGTGATTGGCTGTGTTGATCATTTGACAGAGAAGTAGAACAGATTTTTGAATTCGTATTTCAGAGAGATAAGGAGGTGGAAAGAAAACATTTTAAATATGTATTTAAGAGAGAGAGAGAGAGAGAGAGAGAGAGAGAGAGAGAGAGAGAGAGAGAGAGAGAGAGAGAGAGAGAGAAGTGAGGAGGAGGAAGGTAACAGATAAACTTTAAAAAATATATTTCAAAGAGATGGAGGTAGATTTTGATATAAAGAGGAGAGTTGAGTTGAATTGAGTCAAGAATGGACATCACAGCATTCGGGGTATTCCCATATGCGCTCCATCTTCATTCTCAGCAGCCAGCACAGAGTTCGAATACTAATGCCGGTTGTAGTCTGGTTGTATGTCCGTCTTGCCTTTCCTTTGAGCTTAGAGTGCGGCGAACCCTCTGGTCACAGTCAGGTGCATTATTCTCTCCAGCCCATAATAATCTAGTTTCTCTTCTGAATACGTTACTTGTTCCCAGAGGGCTCTGACCACATCTACCTTGTCATGTATCAGTTCACCACTCAGTGTTACAGATCTAGCCAATCTGTCTGTCTGTTTATTCCCCACCACGCCGGCATGGCCTAGAGAAAAAAATTGAAAGTATGCTCACCACTCGGGACCTTGCAAGTAAAGCTTGCCATTATGCTTGAAGTAATCCTGTCTTCACCTTCTTCAGCATGCTTTCAGAGTCTGTTACAAATATTTTGGTCATATCAAGCGCCACAACGGATTGGAAAAAACTATAGCAGAAGGCATGGTACCAGGAAGGAGGAGCAGGGGCCGACCGACACGAAGATGGGCACAGGATATAAGTGACTCTTTGAGTATGAAAGTATATGAGGCAGGAGAACTGGCGAGAAACCAAGTTTCTTTCAGGCACTGTGATGAGAGCGACGTTCTGCAAAGGACTTGCTACATGATGAGATAGGGCAGAGAGAGAACCTTTTGAAGATTTAAACAAAATAAACTTATTTGTTGAAATAAATATTCTCAAGAGTCCCCTTATAACTGCCATATGTAACCTGATTTATGTTTGTCTTTCATACTAAATTGAGCTTTCATAGATCCTTCTTCTCGTTCTTGTTCTTCTTCTTCTTCTTCTCTGTTTGCCCTTCAATTTCTGCACTTTTTGGCCCAACACATCCGACCTAAACAAACCCCAGTTGGTCATCTTTTATGAAATGGTTGTTAAGAGGACAGCTGGTAAATTATTTTCTCCCCAAATTGGAGAGGGAACTCTTTTTGGAGGCTTGAGCAGCAGCATTACATGGCTGCGGTGGACTGGCCCGATTGGGGGGGGGGGGGGGGGAGCAGCATTACATGGCTGCTGTGGACTGGCCCGATTGGGGGGGGGGGGGAGCAGCATTACATGGCTGCTGTGGACTGGCCCGATTGGGGGGGGGGGGAGGGGGAGCAGCATTACATGGCTGCTGTGGACTGGCCTGATTGGGAGGGAGGGGGAGCAGCATTACATGGCTGCTGTGGACTGGCCTGATTGGGAGGGAGGGGGAGGGAGAGCAGCATTACATGGCTGCTGTGGACTGGCCTGATTGGGGAGAGAGGGGGAGCAGCATTACATGGCTGCTGTGGACTGGCCTGATTGGGAGGGGGGGGGGAGAGCAGCATTACATGGCTGCTGTGGACTGGCCTGATTGGGGGGAGGGGGAGGGGGAGCAGCATTACATGGCTGCTGTGGACTGGCCTGATTGGGGGGGGGGGGGAGCAGCATTACATGGCTGCTGTGGACTGGCCTGATTGGAGGGGGGGGGGAGCAGCATTACATGGCTGCTGTGGACTGGCCTGATTGGGAGGGAGGGGGAGGAGAGCAGCATTACATGGCTGCTGTGGACTGGCCTGATTGGGGAGAGAGGGGGAGCAGCATTACATGGCTGCTGTGGACTGGCCTGATTGGGAGGGGGGGGGGGGAGAGCAGCATTACATGGCTGCTGTGGACTGGCCTGATTGGGGGGGGGGGAGGGGGAGGGAGAGCAGCATTACATGGCTGCTGTGGACTGGCCTGTGGGGGGGGGGGGGGGGGGAGAGCAGCATTACATGGCTGCTGTGGACTGGCCTGATTGGAGGGGGGGGGAGCAGCATTACATGGCTGCTGTGGACTGGCCTGATTGGAGGGGGGGGGGAGGGGGAGCAGCATTACATGGCTGCTGTGGACTGGCCTGATTGGGGGAGAGCAGCATTACATGGCTGCTGTGGACTGGCCTGATTGGGGGGGGGGGGGAGAGCAGCATTACATGGCTGCTGTGGACTGGCCTGATTGGGGGGGGGAGCAGCATTACATGGCTGCTGTGGACTGGGGCCTGATTGGGGGGGGGGAGAGCAGCATTACATGGCTGCTGTGGACTGGCCTGATTGGAGGGGGGGGAGCAGCATTACATGGCTGCTGTGGACTGGCCTGATTGGGGGAGAGCAGCATTACATGGCTGCTGTGGACTGGCCTGATTGGAGGGGGGGGGGGGGGAGCAGCATTACATGGCTGCTGTGGACTGGCCTGATTGGAGGGGGAGGGAGGGAGAGCAGCATTACATGGCTGCTGTGGACTGGTCTGATTGGAGGGGGGGCAGCATTACATGGCTGCTGTGGACTGGCCTGATTGGAGGGGGAGCAGCATTACATGGCTGCTGTGGACTGGCCTGATTGGAGGGGGAGGGAGGGAGAGCAGCATTACATGGCTGCTGTGGACTGGCCTGATTGGGGGGGAGCAGCATTACATGGCTGCTGTGGACTGGCCTGATTGGGGGGGGGGGGAGCAGCATTACATGGCTGCTGTGGACTGGCCTGATTGGGGGGGGGGGGGGAGAGCAGCATTACATGGCTGCTGTGGACTGGCCTGATTGTGGGAGAGCAGCATTACATGGCTGCTGTGGACTGGCCTGATTGGGGGAGAGCAGCATTACATGGCTGCTGTGGACTGGCCTGATTTGGGGGGGGGGGGGGGAGAGCAGCATTACATGGCTGCTGTGGACTGGCCTGATTGGGGAGGGAGGGGGAGCAGCATTACATGGCTGCTGTGGACTGGCCTGATTGGGGAGGGAGGGGAGAGCAGCATTACATGGCTGCTGTGGACTGGCCTGATTGGGGGGGGAGGGAGCAGCATTACATGGCTGCTGTGGACTGGCCTGATTGGGGAGGGAGGGGAGAGCAGCATTACATGGCTGCTGTGGACTGGCCTGATTGGGGAGGGAGGGGAGAGCAGCATTACATGGCTGCTGTGGATTGGCCTGATTGGGGAGGGAGGGGGAGCAGCATTACCTGTAGACTAGGAGGCAGAGATAATGACACAAGAAGCAGGTGATGCTGTGTCCCTTGAAACTAACCTGGAAGGCTAACCCTGGCAGTTAATGCCTGAAAATGTTCTATGTGTTGGCCGACGGGTGCAAATATCACAGCCAAACTGCAACTGGGTGCAACACAGTGGTGTCCTCAGATGAATGCAGAAGGAGAGAGATATTTAGCTTCCATGAATAACTTCTTCTGCCCTTTTGACCTTGAGAAACCACTGATCAGCTTATTACTCATTCATTGTTAGTAACACAAGTCCCTGTTTGGGGTCTGTGGCCCCATTTGGGGGGGGGGGGGGGGGGGGGTGAGAATAGATCCCCTTACCAAGCATTTAACTAAAAGGCCTTTCCTTCAAAGTTAGAGTACA